AAAAAAAAAAAGTCAAAGCCACCCCTCCAGCATCCTATCTTCTGGAAACTTTCCTGCCTTGTAGAGCTCTAGGCTCTTCCTAACTCAGTGGCAACTCCACTCACTTCAAAGACCTTTATCCTCCCAGAGGACCACTAAGCAACTCCAAAATTTTCTACTCTTTGAAACAGGAACCCTAGTAATCCTGATATGCCACCAGCATGGCCTGTTCTTATCCAGTGGGAGCCAGAGGGATCTGGGGGGCCCTCCCACAGAGGTCAAAGGCCCAACCATGACCAGAAAGATGGCTGGGAATCAAAACTGTTCAAAGTCTTCACCTGATTTAGTTGTGAGTCCCGCCATGTAGTCCTCCTTTATTTACCAAAGGACTCATTTTTTCAAAATAATTGTTTCCATATGCCAAAATACATATTAAAAATAATTAAGCTGGGTGTGATGACGCACATGGAAGGCAGAGGCAGACAGATCTCTGTCAGATCAAAGCCAGCAGCCTGGTCTCCATAGCAAGTGCCAGGCCAAGTAGGGCTACAGGGAGATCCTGTCTCAAAAAAGACAAAAGTTTTTAATTTTTAAAACCAGGTAGCCCTGGTGCTCGACCATGCCTGAGGACCATTTGTCTCCCATTGAAGCTACCAGCAGCTCTCAAAGTTGGGTGAACATCTCTCAAAACTCAACTGCATCTTCCAAACCTCTACTACATCCCAGAGTGGCAGACAGGTTTGGTCTCCAGCTACAACCAGGCAGATGATCTGCCTCCTTGGAAAGCATCAAGGGCAGTCTACTGTTTTCTCAAGAGCCTCTCACTTCAGTACCAAGGCTACATGTAGTCTGACCCATTTTAACTTTTATATTTATTTTTTGGTGTTGGGAATCAAACCCAGGGCATGAAAAGCATATATTCTGCCACAGAGCCACAATACCCATCCCAACCTAAGTGCATTTCCCCCCTGCTTAAGGAGGAAAAAAAAACCCAGCACTTGGGGGACTGAGGCAGGAGGTATGCTACAAGTTCAAGGCCAGCCTGACCTACTAAAAAGAGTTCTAGGCCAGTCTGGCTGAAGTAAAACTCTTTTCAAATTTGAAAAGATAAACTACCTGCCATTCAAGTCTCAATGCCAATTCTGCGCAGAGAAAATGCAGGCTGTTCCCCCAAATGTAGAAAACCAGGACGGCATGCCTTAGGGCAAGATGGACCTGAAACTTTTTTTTGGGGGGGGGGGGGTCTTTTTGAGACAGGGTCTCCCTGTATCCCTAGCTGACCTGGAACTCACAAGAGATCTGCCTGTCTCTGCCTCCCTAGTGCTGGGATTAAAGGTGTGCACCACCACGCCCAGCTGCCAATATTATTTTTATTATTTTAGCTGCCATGTGGGTGCTGGGATTCACACTCCGGTCTTCTGTAAGAACAACCAGTGTTCTTAACTGCTGAGCCATCTCTCCACCCCCTAAAACTTACTGAATTTTTCAATAAAGCTGACTTGCTGCAAAGACTCAAGTCCCACAGCCAGGCTCTGCACCAACAGTATCACTGTCATGGAGTAAACCCCAACCCCCACCACCACCACCACCACCACCCCCGCCCAAGGGCATGATGAGCCGGCCTCACTCCATGTAGAAATCTCAAGAATTTGTCACAGAATTCAACTTTGAGGCGCCTGTGTTCTAGCCCTTGGCAAAGGTTGATTTTATGCAACAAAGCCTTGCCAGTGTCAAGAGCCATTATCTGCCCTGGCCTCTACAACACTGTGGGTGAGTTGCAAAAGGCCACGCGTACACTGGGTCAACAAGCCTTTGGGGTATCTCAAAGAATCAAGGAACCTCACTCACCCAGAGGGCTGAGGGCAGCTGCCACACTTTCCCCCACATTCTTCAGGAATTTCACACTGGGATCCTCTGATGGACCAGAAGCTGTTGATTTTTACAGAAACAATCATTTTAGTTCTATTTCTATGCCTCTGATACCAATTCACAGTCCTAGAACAATTGTGCCAAGGTTACCATCATCAGCAATCACCACTCCAGGACCCCCTGACCATACTTGGTGCTATCTTCTCTTCCCTCTCACTCTGCACGCTGGTCCCCCAGTGGTCACATCTTGAACCCACTCTGTACTCTGTAACAGGGGCTTAGTGCACTCAGTATGTAAACACTGAACATGTCCTAGGTAAGTTATTTACTTAGAAGCAAACCAGTACCCCAATAGGCAGAGGCAGGGGATTCCCAAGTTCAAACCTAGTTTGGGATACAGTGAGACCATCTCAAAATAAAATAATGAACCCAGTACAGTGGTATGTATGTATATATAGTCACAGTTACTTGGGAGGCTGAGACAGGAGGATCACATTAATCCCAAAAATTTGAGACCAGCCTGGGCAAAAATAAAACAATCTCGGGGCTAGAGAGATGGCTCAGTGGTTAAGAACCCTGAATGTTCTTGCAGAAGACCCAGGTCCGAATCCCAGCACCCACATGGCAGCTAACAACCGTCCTTAACTCCAGTCCCAGGGGATCCGACAGCCCCTTCTGACCTCTGCAGGCATTGCACAACATGGGTGCACTTACCTATATGCAGGCAATACACGCACACATAAAATAATTTTTAAAAACTTTTAAAAAATTATTTTAAAAAATCTCAAAATTTTTTACTGCATTCCTTTTTATGTATGGTGTGTGTATGTACAGACAGACACGTGTGTGCAGGTAACACATATACACCATTCACACCCATGAAGGACAAAGGACAACTTTCAGGAATTTTTTTTTTGGAAGAGTGGGTCTCCCAGTAGCCCCAGCTGGCCTGGACTTCACTACGTAGACCAGGCTGGCTTTGAACTCACAGAGATCTGTGTGCCTCTGCCTCCCGATTAAAGGCACGTGTCACAATGCCAGGCCAGGAGATAGTTCTACCATGTGGGTCCTGGAGATCAAACTCAGGTCATCAGGTTTGACAGCAAACACGCTTATCTACTGAGTCATTACCTGCCCTCAACCTTTTTTTGGGGGGGGGGTCTTCTTGAAATAGGGTCTCCCTGCAGTTCCAACTGGCCTGGAACTCACCATGTAGACCAGGCTGGCCTTGAACTCACAGTCTTCTTGAAATAGGGTCTCCCTGCAGTTCCAACTGGCCTGGCACTCACCATGTAGACCAGGCTGGCCTTGAACTCACAGAGATTCACCTGCCTCTGCCTCCCAAGTGCTGGGACTACAGGCCTGCACCACCACTCCTGGCTTCAAGCTAACCTTTTTAGGTTGTTAGCCAACAATGTGGGTATTGGGAACCAAACCTGGGTCCTCTGCAAGAGCAACCAGTACTCTTTACCACTGAGCCATCTTTCCAGCCCCTCAAAATTAAAAATATAATTCCAGCCCCTCAAAATTAAAAATATAAAAACCAGAATCCCCAAAGTTAATTATGTTAGGGGCCCTGCGCTAACAGCTTTCTACTCTCCTTGAAGAGAAGGAGGAGTGCCAGCAGTATCATTGCCCACCATGTTTAAATTCTTGTCTTTGCTTTTTTTTTTTTGAGACAGGGTTTCATGTAGCCAAGGTTGGCCTTGAATTACTCATCTTTCTGCCTCTACCTAACTGCTGGGATTAGGGGTATATACCATTATGCATGACTTTATGACTGTTTCCTAAGGTTTGAGCAACTTTGGCCCAACTTTCCTGGGTTAACACAAAACAGAATGGAATACATTATAGCAATCTAGCCATCTACCTTCACCTCACAGAAGGGCAGCCTGACAAGGCAAGGAGGGCCATGTGGGTGAATTAGTGGCCTTGGGCATTTAGATACCCATTTCTCATGTAAATACTTCATTTTTGTAGGGTTCTTATGAGGATTAAATGACATAGATGAGGACTGAACAGTGGTAGAGCACTTACCTAGTTATGTGTTAAAGCTCTAGGTTCAATCCCCAGTACTCCTCCAAAACAAAGAAAATGACAAGGGTGACTGTGTATCACCCAGTCCATTGTGGGCACAGCAGGACTTCAGGACATGGGGAAGGTTTGGCCAAAGGCCCATCTGAACTGGCTGGCTAATCTTGACACCCAAAAGCCAGTTCAAACGCCAGCCTCACCTGAATCAGCCGTGGGGCAGCAACGAGTGTCCCCTCCTCGAGGAGGACGTGGGCTCCAGTTCCCTGGTGGGCCCATCTCCCATCCAGGCCAGCCAAAATGCCCGTGTTTCAGCTTCCGAAACCAACGGCTGTGAGAAAAGCCCTGGGCAGGAGAAAATAGATAGGGCAGTGAGCAGTCAGGGTCCCTGGCTCCTGCCACCCTGTACCCACCAAGATCAGAGAACCTACTCACCTCAGAAAGGTGGCCAAAGGGGTTAGGGAAAATGAGCTTGCCATGCTCTTTGTGCAGGCCCTTCCCCTCACAGACACTGCAGAGGTCATAATCTGGGCACACACTGCATTTATAGCGAGTTCCCACCACTGGCCCATTGCAACCATCACAAATCACATTGGGGTGTACCATGCTGCGGGAGGCCTCCTGAGCACATGGTGGGCGATGATCCCGCCGGCACTCCTTCTTCTCTGCAAGGAGAGTAGAAAGCTATTAGGGCAAGGTCCCCGAATCCTCCCCTCCATTCCACTGTTAGCAAGGTTCTGGCCTCATTGGCCAAAGCCCAGTCAGAATTCAGTTGCTAGAGTAACAGCAACTGAACAAACAACTGAAGAATTTCATAGGTGGTTAGAAATCCCAGGCCCCTGCACTTGTTAACAAGCACCCACAACTCAGGTAACAAGGCAGCAAGAAGCCCAGTCTGTATACCTTTGACCTTAGTCCTCACCAAGCTGCCTAAGTTGCTCTCAGCCCCCAGGCACCAAACCCATTCCCTAAAGATAGACTTTGCTTCATTTAGGTCCCTTGTCTCAGAGAACCTCAGATTCCTAAAGGCATTTCTTTGGAACACTTGGCTTCAGGCAGCCCCTCACCTTTAATGTAGATTCGGAAGACATCATCCTTCACATAGGACATGGCCATTGTCAACTCCTCATCACTGGAAAAGGCAACCAAGTCACCGTCCTCATCTAGATTGTTTAAGAACAACACGTCGGGGTTAGGGATGTCCTTCAGTTGTAGAGCACTTTCCCAGCAGGTAAAGAGCCTTGGGTTCTATCCCTAACACTAGAGGGTAAAAAAAAAAAAGCATAGTGGTGTCCAGGTCTCTCAGCTGGGCATATGCTGCTGCAATGCACAGAGACCAATGATAAAGGGATATTTGCAGAGGCTCTAAATACCCAGCCTGAGGGGAAGGGACAAGAAGCAAGAATGTCATTCACTCTGACAAAACCTGGATACTCAAGTGCTCAGCCTGGAGTTTCATGCAGAAGACAGAGCATATTCATAAAGGGCTGGCAACAACAGCAGCTAGCCACCTGCCACTCAGCATCAGGGCCACCTGTCCCCTCTGAAAGCTGCCATCATATGCTATATCTAACCAGGCCCTTGTCCATCTTCAACTGGGAGATCCCAAGCTGGGCTCTGTTCCAAAGAGGCCTAAGGCTTTAGGAATAAAGGAGTAAGTCCATTTGCCTGCTCCCTAATAACCAATGGACAGTCATGTCCTCTCCAATTTGTTGTGCTGTCAAGGTTTTTATTTGTTGTTTTGCTGTTTTGAAATTTGTTGGAGGTTTTCTGTTGTTTATTTTTGGGTTATTTTTGCTTTTTGAAACAAGATCTTGTTCTGCAGCCCTGGCTGGCCTACAACTTATGGACAGCTTCCCAAGTGCTAGAATTATAGCCATGTGCCACCAGTGGTCTTCAAGCACCTTATGCAGGCCAAACCACACTTCTACAGCCTAGATCAAGCCTGTAGGCCACCCCACAGAAGAGCTACCATGTAACAGGTAGCCCAAGAGTACCAACAGCCCAATGTCCATGAACTAAAGACCAGATAAAACATAGCATAGCCATGAAGTACTGGCCAAGCATGCAGCTCAGTGGTAGAGCATTTGCCTAATATACGCAAGGCCCTAGGTTCAATCCCCAGTGCTGAGGGTGAAAAAAACATCAAGTACTGATCAGAGTTACAACACAAATTACCTTGGAACACAGTACTAAGTGAATGAGTAACAAGCCTACATTATAAGATTCATCTGTAGCCCAGCATGGTGGTGCACACCTGTAGTCCCAGAACTTGGGAGGCAGAGGCAGACGGATCTGAGTTCAAGGCCAGCCTGGTCTACATAGCGAGTTTCAGACCAGCTGGAGCTACAGGGAGACCCTGTTTCAAAAAGACAAAAAAGACTCATCTGTATGAAGTGTCCTGAATAGTCAAAACAATACTAGGCTGATGGCTGCCCGAGACTGGGAAGAATAGGGACAACAGACAAAAGGTATAAAATTTACAAAATAGAATTGAATGTGATGGTGGTGCTAGCCTAGCATGCATGAGGCCTTGGATTTGATCCAAATACCACATAAACCAGGCATTGTGGTACATACCTATAATCCTAGCTAGCATTTGGGAGTTGGAGGCAGAAAGATTAGAGATGCAAGTCAGCCTGGCTATATAGTGAGACTATCTGTGCTTTAAAATATTTTTAAAATTTTATGTTTGAGTGTATTGCTTACATGTGTATAAGTGCACCCATGTCTTGCAGTGTCCACGGAGATCAAGAGCAGCAAGTACTCTTAATCCTTGAGCCACCTCTCCAGTCCCCTATCTCTGCTTTAAAACAAAACAAAACGAGTCTGGAGAAATTGCTCAGCAGTGAGGAGCACTGGCTGCTCTTACAGAGGACCTGGTTCGGTTCCCAACACCCACATGGATCTCCAGTTCCACGCAATCTGACACCTTCTGGTTTCCTGGTCTCAGTAGGCACTGCATGCACGTCGACACTTACATACATATAAGTGAAACACAAAGACACATAATTCAAATAAAAAAATTTTAATTTTATATACTTCAAAAGGGTGATCTGCACCATACAAAGGTTATAATCAAAGTCACACGGAAAAAAAGTGGCCAGGGTTGGTGGGCACCTGTAATCCCAGCAGTGGGAAGATGAGGCAGGAGGATCAGGGTTAGAGGCCAGTCTTGAGAGTTCAAGGTCAGCCAGGCTTCGTGGCTCAGAATCTAAACAAACAGCCAACCTGGCAGGCTGACGCCTTCCTCAAGAGGTCCCCACCCTGTCCCCTCCCAGGGGCGGCCCTCGCCACCTCCCTCTCCGCAGCCACAACTTCTGGCTCCACCCCTTGCCGCCGGTCTGAGCTAGTTCCGGAATTCCGAGGACGTTGGAGCAGGCCCCTGCCCACCGCGCCTGGCCGCCGGCTTTCCACTCACGGTCTCCAACCCGCCCTCCCACACGGGCCCCGCACCCGCCGCGGCTGCCCTGCGTCACTCTCCCCGCCCTTCCTCCACGTCGGCCGTCGCAGCCCGTCCGAGGCTTTAACTGACCACCACTTGGCGTTCGCAGGCCCCGACTCGGCAAGCTCCAGACGTCAGCTGTAACCCGAGTGGCCGCCTGACCACCCTGTCCCCGCGGGGAGCCAGAGGACGCCCCGCCGCGTCCTGGCCCAGATCTGCTACATCACGGCCGGGAAGGGGGCGAGGTCGTTCCCAGCGCGGGAAAAGCCGAGGCGAGGACGAGGCTGGCGCCCAAGGCCCGGCAGGCGACGCGAGCAGGCCCCTAAGGGGAGCGGCCCTCTCCCCGGTCCTGAGGCGTTCGGCCCCGGCAGTCCCGACCCTCCGTCATCACCCGGAAGGTCCAGCAACCCCGCCCCGGCCCCGCTAGCGTCCCGCCCCGCTCACCGCGGTAGTGCGCCTGGAAGCCGCCAGGCCTCAGCGCCGGGAATAGCACGGCCAGCCGGCTTAACAGCCGCTCGCAGGGCCCCGGGCGGGCCGCAGCCTGGGCCTCCGCCTCAGGCTCCGGACTGAAGCAGAAGCTGAAGCGGCGTATCTCGCGGGCCGCTTCCTCCTTGCCCAGAAGATAGGCCTTCACTGTGACCGACGCCATAACTATGAATTTGGTAGCGAGAGAACAGCTGGGCAGGGGCGAGCGCCGGCGCCTGGCTTTTATGGCAAAGGCGAGAAGCCCCGCCCCGCCCCCTGGGGCGGGGCCTATTTCTGCTCCGCCCCTCCCGGCCTGCAGGGCTGTTACGGACCGGCCGCCTGGTCAGGGCCCCCACCACTGCTGTGGCCTCCAGACATCTGTCCCCCTTACTTCCAACTCCCTTCGCTCTACTCCCAGCGTCCCCGGGACCCCAAGAGGGCGGCCTAGCCTCTGCCCGTGGGAGAAAGGGCTGGCAGGGGTACTATCCTAGGCCCCTCCCAGACTTGGGCCTGGCTGTGACTCAGCAGTGTAGTCCCCAGCCGTGGGGGATGCCCCGCTCCAATGGAGGGAGGCCACTCCGTGGTCACGGCAAGCCAAAACAAGCTGACTCCCAGGATGCCGTTCTTACCTTCCCAAGCCAGGGAGGCAGCCCACCCGATTCCCTCACCCTAGTATCCACCAGGACCAGCCCCTGACTGGATTAAGGGAAACCAAGCTCCACCCCACTCCAACACTCCCCCACCCCCGCCTCAGGTCAGACCTGAGCATTTGTGAAGCTCCCAGTTTAACAAGGTTCAGGTTGAGAGATGTTGCTGGTCAAGGGCTTCAGAGTTCTTGCAAATATTCCCCAACCCCGTGCTCCCCCCCCCACCTCCATAGACACCCTGCTGGAGGGCCGGCCAGGGCTTCGTGAAGCCATGAGTGGGCACTAAGTATTCAATGTCTCCCAAGACACAGCTCACAATCGCCCACACCTGTCAGCACAAGATCCAGGGGGTGGGTCTCAGGCCTGTTGGCCTTCTTGACAGCCAGAGGGATCAGAATGCCTGCCCTCCAACTAGGAACCAAGAAATAGCACTTAGCCAGTTCTGTGGCACAGACCTATAATCACAGCTGTTTGAGAGGCTGGCCCAGAAGGATACTAAGTTCAAGATCTGCTTGAGCAACTTTGTAGTTTAGTTGTTAAACTGACACACCTGGGTTGAGGGGCCCTCAGCTAGGGAATTGCCTCCTTTCCACTGGACTGTGGCCATTGTCTGTAGGGAATTTTCTTGATTTTTGAGAGATGTGGGAGGGCCCAGTCAGGGGTGGTGCCACCCCGGGCAGGTGGGCCTGTGTTGCATAAGAAAGCAGGCTGAGCAGGGGCCAGGGGAGCAAGCTAGTAAGCAGCATTCCATCATGGCCTGTGCTCCAGCTCCTGCTTCCAGGTTCCTGCCCTGAGTTTCTGTCCTGGGCTTCCTCAGTGATGAACGGTGACCTGGGAGATGTAAACCAAATAAACTCTTTCCTCCCCAAGTTGGTATTGGTCAGAGTGTCACATCAACTGAAGGCAAACTAGGACAGTGTCTCAAAATAGAAATCCCAGAAGTTGGGAGGTAGAGGGAAAAGGATCAGGAGTTCAAGGCCAGTGTTGTCCCCTTGAGGCTTTGTCTCAAAAATAATAATAATAATAATAATAATAATTGCCAGGAGTGATGATGCATGTTTTTAATCCCAGCACTTGGAGGCAGAAAGCAGGCAGGAATACCTCTATGAGTTCATGGCCAGCCAGGTCTACATATCAAGTCCTAGGCTAACCAGGGTTTCATAGTGATACCGTGTCTCAAATAAATAGATGTGAACAGACTAAGGAGCTCAGTGGAGATGTAGCACAATGGGGTCATATATGTAACATCTTAGGTTCAACCCTCAGTACCCAAATCCAAAACAGAAAACCACTGCTTTATGTAATAAAAGTGACCTGGAGCTGGGTATGATGACACACACTTGTAATCCCAGCACTTGGGAGGCTGAGTCATTCTAACTCAAGGCTAGCTTGGGCTTGTATAGCAAGACATGGTTTTAAAAGAAAAAAAATGATTTCTTAGAAAGATCCATAAGAAACAGGGCAGATTGGGGTCAGGGGCTGCTTGGATCAATGTGGACCCAAAGGAACGTCACCCTATGAGGCCTCCCAGACATGGTCCTGTCTATGGGACTGAGACTTGCTGAGTGAAGCTCTTGGTAGGAGGGTGGGCTGGGAAGAGGTTGAGCCTAGGTCATCTCCCAGGGGCAGGGGTCTCTAGACCTGCTTCCCAGGGCCCCGTTCCTGGTACTCCCCTTCTCCCTGGGCCTCTCCAGGGTTTGGGTTGTGGGAGGAGAAAACCCTTAAGTGTTAGGAAAATTCAAGGGTAGTTATTTGCTGTGGAGCACAATGTAGTCTGGTCACAAGTGTCACTGCTCCTTCCCAGAGGGCTAGAAGACTTACAACTCTGCCCTGTCCTATCAAAGACAGCCCCCTCTTAGGCCTCTGCCTCCATCCAGCTGGTAACCCAGGAAAATGACCCCTCTGCCTGCTAGACCTACTGCCATGCAGGTAGAGTTGGGACAGGAAGCCGGCAGCTAGACAGAGCTGAGGACAGGTGCCTGCCCAGCATGACTCAGCAGTCTAGTGGCCTGAGAGCCTCAAAGCTTCAGGCAGGCCAGCTTCCTGTGGGGCATCTGAGCCGATGGGGGAAGCACCAGGAACTCCATTGCTCAGAGACCAGTGAGAGAAAGAGAATGCTAGAAAATGGGGCCCTAGAGAAGCTGGCCTAGAGACTTCTGCCCCTGGGAGATGCCCTGAGTTCCAGTTTTTCCCAGCATGCTCTGCTGCCCAGAGAGCAGCCCAGGCTCTCTCTGACCAGTCAGGGAGGTAAACAAGGCAGTGGCTGGGGAACCCCCCCTGGCAGGGCCCTCTCTGCTTGCTGTGGTCAGGTGGCCTGGCCTGCTGTGAGTCAGAGTCCCATGATCACCATCATAGCAGGAGGGATCCCTGCTGCTGCCTTCTAGTCCAGTGCCAATAGACAAGATGGAGAAGGGCCTTGGGGTCTCTGCAAGATGAGCTTTCAGAGGCCAAGGCTGCCAGTACAAATTCGACCTGGCCTCTTACCAAAGTCTGATGTCTTTCCCATGAGTCCACTGGCCCCTTCCCCACCCTCTGGAGCACAGAATGTCACTGGAGGAAAGGTGAAAGCCTGGCACCCGAGTTCTGAGACAGTGCTATTGACCTGACCTGCCATCTTTGAGTAGGTGACTAGCCTCATGTTTAAAATGGGTCAGGAGTGGGAGGACCTGAGCTGCCCCACATCCCCACCTGGGATGCCCCACAGGTGTGCTAATTATCTGACTTTGGGGGGTGTAAGCTACCAGAGAAGTCAAGGAGGAAGCCATGAGGCAGTAAAGGAGGGGGAGTTTGATGTGGCAGAGTAGGGGACACAGAAGAGACCTAAGTCAAAAGGTTCTGAGAGAAAGTCAAGAGTGATCAAGGAGCTAAGGAGCTCTGAATTTGCTTATTCCTGTCTGGTGTGTTGTCACTATCTACTTAGGGTCCCCACCCCATGACTTGACAATGGTTTTCTCAAGTACAATTGATGCCCTTTTGGGTGTGGAGTCAAGTGTCCAGATGGGCACTGGTCAGCCGAAGCCAAGGCCACAGGGGAGTCAGCCTGAGCTGCTCTGGGCCACATTAAAGAGACTGAGGGTCACAGGGGCAGTGTTCCTCTAGACCCCAGCTCCACTTACAGCATAGGATGAGTTTCTTTGTGGAGATGCTACTACAGCCACTCACACTGGAGTGACATACCCCAAGTTCCTAGTCATGCCCAACTCTTTCCTCCAGGTGCATTTTACTAGGTTCTTCTCTCTGTCCAGAACCCTTTCCTTCTTCAGCTTTGAATGGCAGTTTCCCATCCTCAAAGTCACCTCCTCAGTAGGGCCTGCCCTGGCCACCCCCTGGAAAACACCTCCAAGTACCCGGCTTCAGCTTCTTTTACTCCCTTCCCACCACTTTCTTTTATACCCCCCCACCTTTTTGAAAGAGGCAGGGATGGAACCCAGGGCCTCCCCTCATGACCATTAGCACTCTGCAGCCCCAGCCTCTCTCTTTTTAAAAACACTTTAAAAATTTTATTTTCATTTTATGTGTATAAGTGTTTTGCCTACATGTTTTATTTTAATTTTATGTGTATTAGTGTATTGCCCATGTGTGTTAAGTGCACCCATGTTGTTGTGCAGTGCCTGCGAAGGACAGAAGAGGGAGTCGGATCCCCTGGAACTGGAGATATGGATGGTTGTTAGCCATGTGGGTGCTGGGATTCAACCCAGTTCTTCTGCAAGAACAGCCAGTGCTCTTAACTACTGAGCCATCTCTCCAGCCCCCAAGTGCCTTCATGTTTATAAGCGCAGCATGTGGGCCACGGGAGTCCGAAAGGGAGTCAGATTTCCTAGAACTGGAGTTAGAAGGGGTTATGAGCTGCCATGTCAGTGCTGGGAATGGAACCCAGGTCTTCTGCAAGAGACCACCAAGCCATTTCTTCACACCCCCCCACCACACTTTAGCCCTTCCTTGCAGAAGTCCAAGTATGAGGTGTCAGAGGCTATGAGACAGAAGGGGGACATATCCTAAAAATCTTTCTGAAAGAAAAGGGTGATATGGAATGGCAAGTTATTGGAGCAATGGAGCCCAAGGAGCCTAGCCCCTGGGCAAAAAGGCCAAATCTGTTCCTCTGGAGTTGAACTGTCTGCACGGATGAAAGAGGGCTGCAGGGCTGGGAGCTCCTCTCCAAAATGAATTGGCATGGGGCTGGGAGGAGGCCGAACCCACAGGGTTCAGACCAAGGACCAAGGCCAGGCCATTCGGGGAAACAGATCACAAAGCTGGGCGCCCCAAGTACGCAGAAACTCTCCTAGCGGGAACGCAACTGGAACTGCAGCCCGGGACGATGACCCTGACCCTGAAAGAATGCGAGCCTGATCGCCAGCCAAGGGCGGAGGAGGAGCCCTGGAGGGAGGGCCGCAGGCCGCCTGGGGGAGCCTTTGGGTCCACTGCACTGGGATGGCTCCTTCCAACTGAAAATGCAAGCTGCTTGGGGTGCGTGGGGAGGCCAACCTGGTTTTCCTCTGCTTAGTCGGAGCAAGGCCCCTGGTCTACTTTCTCTGTGTTCAAGAAGTGGAACCTCCCCTGGTTCCCTATCCTGAGTGTCCCACTCTTAGGCTCGGGGT